CTCCCCCCCAGCCGCCATTTTACAACCAACTCCTCCACCCTATCGCCTCGGCCTCTCGGTTGGCGAGTGTCTACAGCTGAGGACACTGAAGGGGTCAAATTCCTAAGCCTGGGGCCTCCCACCGCTCCGGGAGACCACAGGCCATTTCCTGCTCCCCGAATTCACGTCCCCGGGCCAGGCTCGGAGACGATGCCGCCATTTTGTCTCCGGCTCCCGGCCTCTGTGGGCGGCGGCAGAGGGTCCGAGAATTCCAGCCCCCGGTTGACCCCCCAACTCACCGTCGTATCGCTCAGCCTGCTCGGCCAGCTTCGCCTGGTACACCAGATCCTCCCGATCATCCATAGCGGCAGCGGCTCCGGCAGGGTCTGCGCGACGGATGGAAGCGGATAGCGTCTCCGACTCTCTCAGCCTCTCGCTCCGCGTCCGAGCAGCAAAAATGGCGGCGCCTCAATCCGGGACTTCCGCCTGCGCACGCGGACAACTGCTCAGCTCTATGGCAACCGCTCCCTGGCAACTGGCGCGGGGGGCGGTCCGGGAGCTCGGCGGCTGGAGAGGCTGAAACTAGCTAGACGCCCCTCCTCCGTGGGCTCAGCTGGTGCAGGATCTCCGAGGCGGGAACTGCGACTGCGAGAAGAAAGAGCGACCCCGAGGGAGGCCTGCGGCGAGGCCGGCCTGGACTGCTCCTCCAGAGAGGGAGCAAGAGAAAGCAGAGCTGTAACGGATTTTTAATGGCTTCCTCACTGACACCAACGCCTCTCCTACCTTGTGCCTGTTTCCTCAGCCAAGCACCCCTCCTGGGCCTTTTCCAGGCTGTTTTTTTAAACCCCGGGGTAAAGAGTTGGGCCCTGATACAGCCGGTCCGGGAAGAGGAGCTCCAGTTTTCACACCTCACCTTCGCACGGCAATCTTTTCCTTCCCCTGCGCCTTAGCCAGCTTTTTCCGTTTGGACCCACCGTGGCTAGGAACACGGTAGTCGCCAGAGGAGCCCGGTCTGGGGCCCAAGGTGCAGGAGGCTGGGGCCAAGGCCAAATCGAGATTAAGGAGGCAAGAGTGGGAAAGCACCTGGTGTGTCTTGCTTCCCAGTGGATTCCCAGCACCCTGTTCTCAGCATAATACCCGTCCCGAGACTGGAGCTCAGGTAACTAGAGCATAAGCTCTGTGGCGAGGTCTGCAATAAATGTGGAATAAAAAGGTTGGAACCAAGTTATGAGGAGCCTTGGATGGCCAGCTAAGAAGTCTGCACCTTACTCAGTGGGAACAAGAACGCTATTTTTTATTTTATTTTTTTATGACCTTTGCATGGAGGATGACATCATTTGCCTAACAACATACACTTTAGAAGGATTAATAAGTACGGTATAATAGTGATTAAATTAAGTAAGAGGATAAATGATCCGGCTATTATTACACTAATGCAGGCAAAAAGGAATAGACGGTAGCAGTGAAATTGGAAGGAAAGGACAAATAGGATTCGTGCTACAGAGAGAAGCCACAGGAATCTGTAGCTGATCTGCAGACCTAGAGATCTTGTGAGGGGGGGAAACTGACTTTCCATCTTCCCACCCTGAGTCACTGGGATAAATGAGTGGCAGTATCGTGAACAACAACAACAAAAATAGGGATGCCAGGAAAATTTGCTGATAGAATGCGGAGAAGACAGGCAATTCCTTTTAGCACATGTCGGTTCTAAGATTCTCAAAAGATCTCCCAGGTAGAAATGACCAGCATGGAGCTGGAAAACATTCCATTCCTAACAGAAGGGAAACTGCCATAGAAGCAGGTAGAGTGTGTGTGAAGGGGACCAAACACACCACCTTGGAGAATACCTGCTTCTGAGAGAGGGGTGAAAGCAGGAGACGCAAGGAAGGAGACCAGGTGGCTCCTTATTGCATTACAAATTAAACCCCCTCCGCTCTAAACAAACTTAACAAATTTCAGCGGTAAAAGACTGAGAATCAAAACACCTGGGTTCTAGCCCTAATTCTATAACTATATAAATACACATTTTTTTATTTATACATCCAGCAAGTCATTTCGCCTCTGAAGTTTCATGTTCATCTGTAAAGTTGAGAAACTGGAGACCTTATATTAAACCATGAAACAAGCCTTTAAAAGTGTTAAAAGACTGAAATCATACAAATTATCTTTTCCTATCAAGTAGAATGACTTGTAAATAGCCTTGGCCAGGTAGCTCAGTTGGTTAGAGCCTTGTCTAGATACCCCAAGGTTTTGGGTTTGATACCCAGTTGGGATTTGTACAGGAGGCAACTAATGTCTCTCGCTCTCCCTTCCTCTCTCTGAAATCAGATAAATAAAAAGACTTTTTTTTAAAAAAAAAATTTGAAAACATATCCTCAGGTGAGAATTAAAAAAATAAAAAATTAAAAATAAAATAAAAAAGGATCATAAGTTAATAATGTAACTGAACACCTTAAGGAACTACAAAAAGAACAAACTAAACCCAAAGCTAGCAGAAAGAACAAATAATAAAGATTAAAGTGAAGATAAATAAAATAGAAAATTGGTTGAAAAAAAGAAAATCAACAAACCAAAAGTTGGTTCTTTGAAAAGATCAACAAAATTGAAAAAGCTAGATTGACTAAGAAAAAAAAAAAGACTCAAATTACTAAAATCAGAAATGAACGTGGGGAAATTACTACTGACCGTACAGAAATAAGGATTTGAAGAGAGTATTATCAACAATAGCATGCCAATAAATTGGATAATAAATGATTTGCCTGGGGCATGAGTACCCACCATGACCTACCAAGTTAGAAATATATGATCAGCCCTGGTCAGTGTGGCTCAGGTGGTTGAGTGTCTGTGGTCCCGTGCACGGAGAGGTCTCCGGTTCTATTCCTAGTCAGAGCACATGCCAGGGTTGGGGCTCAATCCTTTGGTGGGGGGGCATGTAAGAGGCAGGTGGTTGATGTTCTGCTCTCACATCAATGTTTCTCTTTCTCCCTTTCCCTTCCTCTCTCTAAAAACCCATAAGAATATTAAAAAAAAAAAAAAAAAGCCCTGGTCTCGGGTTTTTGTTTTTTTTTAAAATATATCTTTATTGATTTCAGAGAGAGGAAAGGAGAGGGAGAGAGAGAGATAGAAACATCAATGATGAGAAAGTCATTGATCCGCTGCAGCCCGCAACCCAGGCATAGTGCCCTGACCGGGAATCGAACCCTGATCGCCTGGATCCCAGGTCGCCGCTCAACCACTGAGCCATGCCCGGCCGGGCTGGTCTCGGGTTTAATCCCCAGTGAAGGCCAAGTACCTGGGTTGCAGGTTCAATCCCAGGCCCCAGTCAGGGTGCATGCAGGAGGCAACCAATCTCTCACATCGATCTCTCTCGCTCACCCTCACTCCCCGCTTCCACTCTCTCTAAAAACCACCCTTGCCGCTGTGGCTCAGTTGGTTGAACGTTGTCCCATGCACCAGAAGGTCACTGGTTCGATTCCCGGTCAGGGCACACGCCTGGGTTGGGGGCTCGATCCCCAGTAGGGGGCATGAAGGAGGGAGTCAATTGATGTTTCTCACATCAATGTTTCTCTCTCCCTTCCTTTCTCAAATCAATAAAAACATATTGAAAAATAAATAAAAATCAGTGGAAAAAAAGTCCTTGGGTGAAGATTAATATAAATATATGATAAGGTCACCCTGTGGCGTTACTCCCTATAGAACTCCTTTTTCGTCCAAGAGAGTGAGACGACAGAGCTCCCTAATGCATCCCTGTTATTCACCGGGCTGGGCCTGAGGTTTTGGAGTCAAGGGAGGGAATGAGGAGCTGGCCAAGCCAGAGGAAACCAGAGCTGCTGGCTCGCTGCCCTTCCAATCACTGGAACTGGGGAGGGGCCATTAGCACACACTGTGATATCATTTTTTTATTCCTTTTTTTCTTTTTCTTTTATGGAACCTTCAAGAATTTGCGTGTCATCCTTGTCCAGGGGCCATGCTAATCTCCTCTGTATCATTCCAATTCTAGTATATGTGCTGGGAAGCGAGCACTGTAATATCTTGATAGAGTAAGAAATATATATTTGTTCTTTGTCCTTGGTTTCTGGCACAAAGCTCCTAAAACTCTGGTAATTTACCATGGAGGTGAGAAGTTTCTTTTGTTATTTATAATAAGCCCCTTTCAACCATACCTGAGTTTATGCTAATGAGGTGACCTTTGGTGGTCCCTTGAGAGAGCTGCAGATAGGGGCTGGTTGCCAGAGGAACCAACCATATGATTAGAGGATTGGAACTTTCTTTTATATATATATATAACAAAAGAAACT